TCATCACATTTGAAAACTTACAGGATACTATGCATGACTCAAATTTTACAAATTTTCACCTGCATATTTGGACATAATTCCCTTCTCACATTGCCTATCAGAAAATGACTAAGAAGAATTGGTGAAAATCTAGGGCAACTTGAATTATTAGAATGGGCACTCCAATGATGAAACACATGGGGCATGGGCTGTACTGGGAATGGGAAAGGTTCAGTAGCCAAAAGGGGTTTGCTCGATGGTTCCTCACAACCACCTAAAAAAAGTTTTTGCCAACCATTTTTGGTTGAAACCCTAAAATTTAAGAAAATCCATGATGCCTTAGCTGAATATAAAAATTGTAGATTCTGTACATTAGATAATCTAGAAAAAAGGGAAGAAAATTTTTTTATTTTAACTTACAGCCCATCCTAATTTTTGGGTTTGAGAAATGTCAATATTTTTCCTGGTGTTTTTCCTGGTGCCCACAATTCCAAAAATGTTTAAATTTTTTGAATAATAATAATGAAAATTCCATAAAAACTCTTTTTCTGATTCTTCCCCTAATGTTGAAAAACATTTTTGTAAGTTTCAGCATACCTTTATCAATTTGCAAGTTTTTTTTAAAAATTTGAAGCACTAAATTGTAGGAAACTTCATGGCACATAAGCTGAATTGAAAAACTTTTGCTTTTGTGCATTGGATAATCTTGAGTGAGTGTTTGAGGGTGCCCGTTTTGTTGGGAATTGAAAAACTGAAGTCCATTTTTTTGATTGTTACTTACTTCCTTTGATTTTTTTTCTTCAATAGGTACAAAATTTTAATAAACTCAAGTGCGCATACACTGATGTTAAGAAATTCACACTTGGTCACATACACAAAATTCTGTACAATTTCAAAAGTGAGACTGGAATCCAAAAAGTTACTCACTTCCTTTGAGTTTTTTTTCTTCAATAGGTACAAAATTCTAATAAACTCAAGTGCACATACACTGATGTTAAGAAATTCACACTTGGTCACATACACAAAATTCTGTACAATTTCAAAAGTGAGACTGGAATCCAAAATTATTCCCGTTTTTCACATATTTAATGTAAAATTGTGGCAAAATTATTCAAATTTTTTATGCATTTTGAAGTTTGAAAAAACCTAGATTTATTTTTTAAAAAATCGCATTATTAGTCATCTGCAAATTAAAAAAAAATTGGAGTGAAAATTTTGAAGAAATGTCTGGGTTACTCACTTCCTTTGAGTTTTTTTTCTTCAATAGGTACAAAATTCTAATAAACTCAAGTGCACATACACTGATGTTAAGAAATTCACACTTGGTCACATACACAAAATTCTGTACAATTTCAAAAATTGGTCAATTTTGAAAAATGTTTTGACATTTTTGATTGTAACTTTGTCATTTTTGCATCTTTTTCAAAGTTTAAAAAAGTAAAATTTAGAAAACATCATGGCGCATTCATTTAAGTTTCAAAATAGATAGTTTGTGCAATGATTGGTATTTTACAAATTTCTAAACTTTCAAAAACAGAAAACAGGGTTTCTAGAGACCTCCCATTTTTAAATTTAGCTCATGATAACTCTAGTTTTATTGACTCAATTTCCATTAATTTTTAGGAGTAATGATGTATGGATGTTTTAAAAATTCTCACATTTTTTCATTGAGAAATGATGAAATGTTCAAAAGTTAAGATTAAAAATGTAAAAGTAGTTCTTACCAATTTATCCCCATTTTTTAAAAACGTTTTGTGTTTTCAATTGTGATTCAGCCATTTTGCAAGCTTTTTCAAACTGAAAAAAAATGGAAATGCAGAAAACATCATGGGTCTTTTACTAAAGTTTTGATATGGAGGTTTTGTGTGATAAGAAGCATGTTAGACATTTTTAAACTTTCAAAAATGGAAAACAGGTTTTTTCACATTTGTCCCGTTTTTTACTTCATCTCATGATAACTTTTTTTTCATTAATGCAATTTCAATTATTTTTTGAAGGTGAATGTGGTTGGATGTTTTACAAATTTACATCTTTTTTTCATTGAGATATGTTTAAAACTTGAAAATTTAAAATCACAAATGTAAAAGTATTTTTTCCCGATTTTCCCACAATTTTTAGAAAAGGTTTGCAATTTTCATTGTAACTTGGCCAATTTTCAAGATTTTTCAAAATTTTAAAAACGTAAATGCAGTAAACATCTTTGCACTTCTTATAAAGTTTTGAAAAGTTGATTTGAAGAAGAATTCAATTTTTGGCAAATTTTGAAAGTCCCCACCGCGGGAAACGGGGCCCTCCTGCAGGCCTGTCTGGGGGCTCTGTGGGAGGGAGGTAGGGGGAAAAGTCGGGAGGGATAGATATTCAGCCAACGCAAGGACCCACTGACTCAAGTAACTTTATTAGTAAGGACAAGCTGGGGGTGCCCAGCCACACCTGGGCATTGGACACATTTTTTAGTTTTGAAAACTTTGATGCACTACAGAAATTAATATGTGGGAGAGGGGGTGCCCTCATGCAACTGTTTATAAAAAAAAGTATGATTAAAGTTGGATAACTGGTGAAGGACCACCAGTAATCTTGTACTTGTGCTCAATGTGTCAGTTGTGGCCCGGTGGGCCACAACTGGCACATGAGCAGGGGGATTTTATTACTTGTCACAATCCCAACTTGGAGTACCCAGCCGAACATGGAAGTATAATTGTAACATGATGAAAATGAATTTTACAAAGTTGAATGATGAAAGCTGGTAACTTGCCAAGAGCCATCAGTTTTATGCACATTGCCAGGTGTGGCTGGGCACCATATTTGTCTAAGTTGATAAAGTTGCAACCACTTCTCAAGGTTATTGTGGTGCTCAATTCCCTTCCATCCCCTAAACCCAACTCCCCCCCCCCTGTGAATGCAGCAGGGAAGGACCCAAGTAAAAAAAAAGCCATTTTTGGGGTCCATGCAGAGGCTAATTAAAACAATGGTTTGATGGGCTATGTCTACACAATATTTAGTAACTGATATTTTTAATGATGCATAGTGCATAATTTTGTATCATACTTCATTCAATCTAAAATCTTCTGCCATTCATCACTGCACAGATCACATTTGAAAACTTACAGGATACTATGCATGACTCAAATTTTACAAATTTTCACCTGCATATTTGGACAATTAAGGGAAGAGTGTAACGGATAGTCTTTTACTGATTCTTCTTAACCACTTTTAGTAGGGCAACTTGAATTATTAGAATGGGCACTCCAATGATGAAACACATGGGGCATGGGCTGTACTGGGAATTGGAAAGGTTCAGTAGCCAAAAGGGGTTTGCTCAATGGTTCCTCACAACCACCTAAAAAAAGTTTTTGGCAACCATTTTTGGTTGAAACCCTAAAATTTAAGAAACTCCATGATGCCTTAGCTGAATATAAAAATTGTAGATTCTGTACATTAGATAATCTTGAAAAAAGGGAAGAAAATTTTTTTATTTTAACTTACAGCCCATCCTAATTTTTTGGGTTTGAGAAATGTTAATGTTTTTTCTGGTGATGAATGCCCACAATTCCAAAAATGTTTATATTTTTTGAATAATAATAATGAAAATTCCATAAAAACTCTTTTTCTGATTCTTCCCCTAATGTTGAAAAACATTTTTGTAAGTTTCAGCATACCTTTATCAATTTGCAAGATTTTTTAAAAATTTGAAGCACTAAATTGTAGGAAACTTCATGGCACATAAGCTGAATTGAAAAACTTTTGCTTTTGTGCATTGGATAATCTTGAGTTAGTGTTTGAGGGTGCCCATTTTGTTGGGAATTGAAAAACTGAAGTCCATTTTTTTGATAGTTACTCACTTCCTTTGAGTTTTTTTCTTCAATAGGTACAAAATTTTAATAAACTCAAGTGCGCATACACTGATGTTAAGAAATTCACACTTGGTCACATACACAAAATTCTGTACAATTTCAAAAGTGAGACTGGAATCCAAAATTATTCCTGTTTTTCACATATTTAATGTAAAATTGTGGCAAAATTATTCAAATTTTTTATGCATTTTGAAGTTTGAAAAAACCTAGATTTATTTAAAAAAAATCGCATTATTAGTCATCTGCAAATTTTAAAAAAACTGGAGTGAAAATTTTGAAGAAATGTCTGGTTTTCACTTTAGCCCATTCTAACTTTTTTTATTTTCATGCAATTTAAAAATTTTTTGCCGGGTTGCATGTGCACAGATGGTTTACAATTTTAGAAATTTGTGTATTAGACAAATGCTGAAAATTGACTGAGATAAAATTTAAAACATAAAAGTTTTTTTCCCAATTTGCATACAATTTTTAAAAAAGATTTTGTGTTTTTCCTTTTATTTTAGTCAATTTTAAAGTTTTTTCAAAACTAAAAATGAAAAAATGTGGCAAACAACATGGTGCTCCTGATGAAGTTTTAAAAAGTAAATTTTATTGAGAATTGCAATTTTGCCTAATTTTTTAATTTCAAAAAAGGGGAAACGGAATTTTCACAAAATTTCGTTTTTTTTACTTTAGCTCATGATAACTTTTTTTTTATGGGTGGAATGTGAATTATTTTTTGGGAGTAAAGAATTTTCAAGCTTTTTCAAAATTAAAAAAAGGAAAATGTAGAAAACATCATGGTGCTTATTATGAAGTTTTAAAAATGAATTTTGCTAGTTTATTCAATTTTTGGCAAATTTTTAAAGTCCCCACCGCGGGAAACGGGACCCTCCTGCAGGCCTCTCTGGGGTCTCTGTGGGAGGGAGGTAGGGGGCAACTGGGGAGGGAAAGTGCGCACGCGCAGACGAACCGACGAACAGAGATAGACAACTTTATTAGGTAAGATACTTCTACGATTTTTCAACGTTATTGAATCAATTCCTCTGTTATTTTGGCTCGAGACTTGAAGCATTCTGCCACTGTCGATCAAATCAGAGTGCAACTGTCACCCATTTATTTCCCTACATTGTACCATTCACCTTAAACGCGAGATTTGTAGCTCAGGATAAAATATGATTGATCAACGAAGTTCGATGTATATCAATCGATCGAATGCAATTTTTTTTGTAGAATGCCTAGAAGAAATGAGTCTGATGATTGGAGACCACTCCTTGCGAGTTTGTGGTGCCACCCCGGCCGTGGCGTTGAAAGAAATCGCTAAACAGATAGCTGACCGAGACAACAGCGTTCGTAACGCCGCTCTGAACGCTGTGGTGCAGGCATATTTCCAAGCAGGCGAAAAAATTTATCGTATGGTTGGCGCCTTGGCGGAGAAGGATATGAGCATGCTGGAAGAGCGGATCAAGCGGGCTCAGAAGACTAGACCAGCGGTAGGTGATGCGACGATTTGCATGGATAATCGCGGAGCAGTTCCAAATCTGGCGTCTCCCACGAGTGACTTGAATGCGACTCGTTCCGTGACGCATCGAAGCGGCGGAGGTGGTAAAACTCGACCGCAGTCGGCAATATTTCCATCGCACCAGTCTCCGACTTCACCGAATGCTCACGCCCGCGAAGAGAAACACATGTCGCCGCCACCGGGGGTTGGCAAGAAGGTGTCACGTTTCGGCGAACTGGGAGACTTCAAGCTCGGCCCAATCGAGATGCGGAGAGACAAACTGTATCCCGATCTAGCTGAGGTTCCGGATTTGGGTATGGACATGAGCATGTCCATGGAGGTGCAGACTGCTACGAAGCATTTTCTGGGCGCCGGGAACGGAGGTTCATTTGCTGCCGGGACTGCCACTACGTTGACGTCGAAGACCGCAGCAATTTCGTCAGGAACCGCAACTGTCAACTCTTTGCTGAGAGACATGTCGTCTAGTGATGCTGAAACATGCCGAGCCGCCTTGTGCGGAATGCTTATGATCGTTCGATCCCGGGAATCTCATAGGGACGTCCTTCCATTGTAAGTTTTTGAGATTATCTGCGCTCGTAATGCGCATGCCGCCGATTACTGTTGATTATTTTTGAGTCAAAATTTTGTTTTTCGAAAACTCTTCAGAATATTTTGTCGATCGGTTAGCCAAAATAAAGTAGAACTCCGATTCATCGTTCCCAAATGTTGATGAGGAAACAAGTCCGCCTGTAAACTTGAATATATTACTATATTCTCCGCTCTGATTCACTGTGAATAATGAAATGTGCTATATTTTTCAGAATCAGACAAATTGTCCTGAGCGTGAAGATCCTTGGTGAACGATATCTTGCGTCAGAAGCTCCATTCCATCGAAATCTGGATGAAAAATTTCGTTCGGATTACATTCACAACGTTGTAGAACTGGCCTTTTTGGTAAGAATTCTAGAACCTTTGGAGTTTCATGCACTCTCACCTGCTTACTTCACGTTAATTTTTCCACGATTCCACAGTTTTCCTTATCGGAAGAATTGCTGTCAGCAATCAGCGAGCCGTTGTATTTAGACTTCATGCGGTGTATGCTCATGATCATGGTGGACCCAAGAATTGCGGAGAATAAGGACACGATGCGCTATTTGAATAAATTTTTTGCACATGCCGTGAATCAATCCGATCCTACCGTGTGTCTTCAGTGAGTGTGTTCGAATGTTTTCTGCTTCTCATTTCACGAAGGCGTTTCTTTTCCTCAAATTTTCTTAATTTATTGTATCTTTAGGTGTACTCTGACGCTTTTCCGAGAGTTTGGGAATGGAGCCATTATTGAGGGTGATAAACGAAGTCAGACTTTAATGGATATCGTCATGCGATTGTTGTGGAAGATTTTCCAAGCTATGCCGAATATGATTTCAAGATATGACTGCGATCCAATTTTGCGAGAGATCGATCTTTACTATCGAGTAAGTTGCTGATGTCCAAATGCTTGAACTTGGGATTATCAATTTTGAATAATATTTCTGCGTTTCAGACATTTCCACGAAATTATTGGGCGGACAAAGAAAAAAAAGATCGGCTGCCAATAAAGACCGTTCTCACCCTCCTTACTACGTTGTGTAAAGAACGACTGAGCTCAGTTTTGACCTGTCTCCGGCAACATCCCGAATACAGAAGTACAGAGATGGGTAGGATCATTGAGAAGTTCGAAAAGGAGGTAATGTATTTCATTTAATATTTTAACGTTATGTTGCCCTCCGTGGAATGATCGAATCTTCAATTTTTACCTTTGCAGCGTCAGAAGAAATTTTCTGCTGGGGATGCAAATGTTGGTATGGACGACGGATCACGAACATTATCTCGTGCAGCCCACAACGAACTGACGAGAATATTCCAGAAAATCGGTGATAAAGAAGAGTCAAACGAGGGTCTCAGATTGCTCCACGCGTTTCGCGAAAGGCATCCCGAAGCTGATCTTGAGCCATTTTTAGTCAAGTCCTCCATATTTTTCAAGCAATACATTGAAGATGGCCTGGGTAAATTGGACGAAGAGAAGCGGCTAACGAGTTGTGAACAAGCTGGTGCCATGAGTGGGGATGATCTGCTGAGTCCCCTTGATCCAAGTTTAGCTGAAGGAGGGGATGTGGAAGACCCTGCATTGTATTTCGCGAAGATCAAGAATTTGCGTGCCCGTTTGGGGCTGAAGTCAAGTCCTTTGGCGGAGAATGGCGCTTCATCCGCCAACAATGATTCCCCCACTGATGAACAGCGTGGCGTAAATTCAGGACGACGATCCAATTCCAGTTCTGACAAATCAGAATCTGCTGGAGGGTTGTCGCGAGAATCTCCTGGTGATGAGAACAGAGAAATATTGGCGCCTATGACAAGAGTGAGTGCATCTGAAAATCAGATTTCAGTTGTCACCTCTAAAATTTACTGTTATGTTATCACTCTTAGTTGATCAACTGCTCATGTAAACGTTTTAAAACATTCGTGTACGCTGCTGCAGCATTTTTTTACGACGAATTCGATTGCCTTCTGAACCAATGAACATCATTATTTGATTGCCTATTTACTTTTTTTTTGTAGGAAGAACCTGTGCAACCTACTGTTCCTGAAAACATTGACAGCATAATGCGGCGATTTCAATTGATCAAGCGCGGCGAATTGAAGTGAGTGACTGTAGCTGAAGCTGTTGACGATGTTGATGATCATACTGATCAAAACTGTATAGCCGTGCTACATTTAATTGCTCTCTGTGTTGATTGTGTACTGATTTTTCCATTTGTAGCAAATTAAATGCGCTATAATTATTGTGTATCTTGTCTTGTTCTATTAAGTCAATTGTTTATTATACTGTATGTCCATGGAACACAGGAAAGAAATAAGTGAAGAATTAACAATTTTTTTGCTATTATGCTAGAAGTGAAGCCATTCAAGAAACGTTATAGTGTGGCAGGTGATAGTAACTTTGATGGACTGCACTTTCAGCACGCCATAACTTACCCATATGAATTAAATTGGGAAAGCATAAATAATTACACACTTTGAAGTTTCATCAATTTCCATCATGCATGTAAGAAGCGCAGAACTCACAAATTATCCTGTTAACAATCCTTGTGTAGCAGTATGTAACGATCTGTTCAGAACACAGTAATTTTAAATTTGATTTTTCTATTGAAATCTTGGATTATGCGGGTCTGGAGCTTTCAATTACCATGACGCATGGCCCAGCCTGTATTTCATTAGCAGATTCTGCATAAATGACGGCGTGTTTTGCTGTGTGAAATTCAACAGTTGAATCTCAAATTAAAACAAATGTACACAAAGTTGAAGTTGACCAAAGAAGGAAACGAACTTCAAAGTTTGCTCAACAAACTTTCTTTCCATTGTCGATCAATCACTTGTAAAAACAATTCATCGCTTCTTGAATCCCATCTTCTTCATCTTGAGGGACTTCGGTTTATTTGTGGATGGCTCCATGCATGACTCCGTGATCAACGGCCGTTTTAATGCACTGTTGGAAATGAACATGTGCGACTGATGAAATCGGGAATCGAACAAAAATCGAATTAACGTACGTTTTAATCACGACAGAACTTTTCCCGCCTTCCTTGAGAGCTTCACTCCAATCGGAATCATTGCCCTTGATTTGAAATTCTGACAAATCCATGCTTTTCATCTTCGCTTTTCCTTTTTTCTGCTTGGCGACTATTTCCTGTTCAAAATACATCATAATGCGAGGATTCGTTCATCAATCAAAAAAAGTAAAAAATGCAATTGATGCAAAAATCATACCTTTGCTGCTTCTTCAAGCTCGTCATCCAACGACTGATTCGTGGATACCATTTGCGGAACACGGGATGCGGCTTTCCCTTCAGCAAGCAATTCACTGCTCTCGATTATGCTGTTCTCCAGGATAGAATTGAAGTAGGTCACTGCTTTCCTGATAATTCGGTTGAACAAGCCCAGAAGCTGAGATACTTCTATCTCAAGTTCACCAGCAACTTCTTCCACCGATTTGAACTCCAAAGCCATTCCAATCAAAATTGCCTATAAATTGAATGGGAAGACTCAAAATACTGTACTCTACACCATAACTTCGAAGTAATGTTTAAATTTCAATATTTTCTTTTAAATTACACACAGCGTTGAAAAATTTCTCAAGATTCATGCTGCTCTATTTTGAACGATCATTCCAAGCAAATAGGGACAGAACAAGAATTCAGCAACTCATCAGAGATTATTCTAGGTCTTCAGAAAACCTCAATCTTACCGATTGCACGGCACTGAGCTGAAGGTCACCCATGAAGCCAGTGAAGTACAGTCTTCCAATCGTTGGGAGGAGATCAAGAATCAGGTGAAAATCCGACAAATTCTTCGCATACAACTCAAGGCGTTTTACATCATATGCACTGAGATGGATTTCCAACTGGGATTTTGTCAACACTTGCTTTTTTGTTTCAAGACAACTTTGCGACCGAAGTTTGTTCGTTTCACCAAGGATTGTCAAGGCCATTTTCGGCTCAAACTTCCTAAACGCACTGCCCAACAGATTGGCAAATCTCCGCCGAAAGTCGAGCCAGAATTCCGACAACCATCCTGGCACAGAATCGTCATCTTCTATTTCAATATCTTTGAGCGTCTTCAACATGATGCAAGAATGCTCCCCAGTGAGATCGTTGCACGTCTGCCGCAGATAAACTGGAATATAACCAGCTTTGCGCCAAAATTTCACTAATGATTCTGTTGCTCCGAAGGAGACTCCCAAGTAATCCAGACGCTCAGCTTGTCTTTCCGAAAGCTTGAGAAGAAGAGGAGGAAGGTCATCTCTCGGACCTAGGAAGAAACAATCAACGCATAGATAATTTTTGTGACCAGCTTTCTCATACTCTCGATACTTTTTTGAATAACGTATCACAGTAATATGCATCAAAAAGGACTTTCTGCAATTCCGTTTATTGTCTCGTAAAAATTTATGATTCTACAACCAATAATTACATTTCACCCCTTTCTTCGCGATTAAATTAAGTTCAGGTTTGAGATTGACGAGACAAGGTCTCCACGTTTCAAAATTCGAATTGTGTAGTAATACTGTACAGCGATTTACTGACATATCTTAGAAATTAGTTTCCGCGTAAGAAAGTTCAATTCTTGAAAATTAGCATAGAGAGATACAATGCATATTGACCGTTAGCACTGCGGACGAAGAAATAACAAGAACGAAGAATTTTCAGTGCAGATTTATCCGATAGACGTTACCGATTTTTTCGTTCAATAAACCATCGTCTTCGTCGTCCTCAGGTTGGGAAGTCTCAGTCTCGACTACATCAATAGGCGCAATTTTGCCTTCGTAATATTGCTCGAGCAAAGCCAATGCTTTAGATCCGTAGCCCATCTGAAAATTAAACATGATTTCTTCGTAGACGTCAACAAAACTGACAACGAAATACGAACGTTCTGAAAATCTGGATGCGTCGCAATCCGGACAACTCGAGCACCAGCGAGCTGAGGAAACTGATTATCATTGAACTGTTGTGCAACGGTCCAGGGAATCAAATCGCCATGCGCTTTTTTCCCTTGCGCAAAACCACTCTTGACGGATGCCCGGGATAAATTACCTTCCAAACAAACCTTCAAAATAGAAGCGACAAAACGCAATCAATGTTCGAAATCAATGTATATCGCACGAACATTACTCGTGAAAAAACGAACACACACAAGATATCGAAGAAAATTCGAAGGACTAACCTGAATAACGCACAGAACTTCTGGAAGCGTTGCTTTTCCAGGTTTAACTGGCGGTAACAGGCAAAATAAATGATGCGCTGGCGCATCTGAAAGCATTTGCAGGTCATTTGGAGAATTCTGCGAGGAATGGGCGTTTTACTCCAAGAAATCCGGCAATCGATTCATTTTTAAGCACTGTACCTTGTAATGCGACGAGACGTACAACGACATTAAACGATGCAGGAACAATTCCGACGCCTTGTGGAAACAGAACAACGTGTCGCGATTGACATAATACAAGTCGCAGTCTTCCGGCAAAGGGCAACCGCCGGACGAAGTTTCGAAAGTTCGCAATTTTCCGGGATCAGTGGCATTCAGACACAGAAGCTCAGTCAGCCACGATTCAACCGGATCTCCCGGACGATATCTTATCGATTCTTCCAATGCAACTTCATGTAATGATCGTTGTCCACTCCCAGTACTGCCACCATTTTGGTTGGATTTGTCAGCGCTCGATCCTGACTGAATTCGCAATTGTTGCAGGAGCTTCAGCGAAAGGGACCTCCCAGTTCCTTCATACCTGGAATAAAAAAAAAAAACATTTATTGGAGACTTCAAGAATTATTTCTCTTGAACGTACCCATTAATTGTAGAAGCCATGAACACCAAGTACGGTCCCAATAAACTTTTCACCAATGGTAGAGGAATCGCTGCTGCTTCATCAATAACGACCAATTCCGCCTGACCCAGTTTAACACCATCGGTCGGATGAATATACTAAGCGAGGGAAAAAATTAAGTCAGTAATATAATTTTTTTCATATCGACTTATACAGTTGTAAATAACCAGAAAAAATAGCCCCTTTCTCAACGATGAAAAAATTAAGAATTCTACGACCAATCAGACCTTGAATCTGAACTAAAAAACTTAATGGCTTGTTCAATATTGGAATAACATGAAAAATGAAGCCATCTTTCAAGAACATGTCTTCTGATTTTGTCAAGGTTCACCACGAGGATATGGATAATATTTGTGGAGGTTTCTGGAATTTTGCTAAGAGCTTAATTTATTGAACATGTGATAGGTAATATTTTCGAGGAAATTCAGTGTATCTTCTGCGATAATGTAACAGGCCAGATCAAAAATGCAACATTGTGAAACGTGAGAGGTACGGAACACTACCTGAATTGTCTGACGATGATCGCGATAAACGTTCACTCGAATTATGGCTTTGTTGAATTCCGGGTTCGTTGATTGAACAAGGTCATAATCGATGTGTTCCTGGTATTCAAGCGCATCAAAGCCTGAAAAATAGACAACGAATATATGATCAATCCAAACGCATACTGTTCACATTACAGTAAAGAACTTCACCTTTGAAAACAAACTCCCAAAAGGTACTCAAATTTTCTGGACTCGGGCTTGTCACGAAGATGTTCGAATATCCAAATGCCAAGGCACCTGCAACGGCCACTCCAAGAGAAGCTGACTTGCCTCGCCCACGAGCAGCAGTGAGAGACACAGTCGCTCGAAGACTTTTCTCAGAAATTGCATCAATAAATTTCAAGACTGCTTTCGCCTGGAACAAACAATGTAATTCTGACTCCAGAAATTCACCCAATAAAAATGAGAAAGATTCATACCTGATCCAATGTTTTGCAGAGATTAACAAGTACACCAACTGGCTGGGTGTCTTGCAAGCTTTCCTGAAGTGATCTCAGTTCAGGGTCCGTCGCAGAAGTCCGAGAAGACCCTGTCACTGCTTTCAGCTCCGCAACGTGACTTGACAATGGCAAAATGTTCAATTTGTCATCGAGAACGATACAAGTCTTGCACGTCATTAAGGAAAGGATGAATCTTTCATTAAATCTCGCGACTATTTCATCGTGAGCTTCCGTCCTAAATCGGGAATGAACATCCATGGTCATGGTGTACAACTGCTTCAACGAAGACACAGATTTCAACAGCAACACGATCATTCCACCTCCTTCAACGGTTTCGATCGTACGCGCCAACAAATTGGGTGTCACGGCTTCAAAATCCTTGAAAAAAAAGAAACAGTCAGAAAGCAATCCTTCATTTCAAGTAAAAAATTTCCAGTACCTGCAGAACGCACATTCCGTACGTGTTACCCAAAATTCGGTGGGTTTCATGGTAATAACAGTAGCGAATTGACGTTGAAGACACGAAGAGTTCGAAAGGATCTTCATCATTGACATTCAATTTTCCTGACTGGATCTTCTTCTGCAATTGACGCATCTTTTTCTTTCGTGTGCTGGAAAATAAGACGTATATCAATGGACAAGAAACAGACTTAAAACTTTTATCATTCTACCTGCAGAAGCCGAGATCCTTCTTATAACACCATAAAACGGATGGCCTCGCTTTCACCTGAGCCTTGGACAACATATGATGCAAAATTACCACTTGATCCCGACCCTGATCACCAACTATGACGAAGAAACTACGATGACCAAGAGAAACGCAGTTCTCGATCATCACACGTATACGATTGTCCAGTTTTTTCTTCATCTTGGAACGCAATTAACCTGCAGGTACAACATGATGATACGACATATCATCACCAGCTCTTCAATACATCGACTGATCAATCACAATATCACCAAGTCGTCAGGGAAATCACGAGAAGAATAGATTCTTCCGCAAAAACAGCACATGTTTTTCAGAACTGCGTGCGGTCAAGTGAACCGGCTTTTGCGTTTATCCCAGATTCTGAATTTTATGATGGGAGAATTGAACTACGAAGACGTTTTCTTAAGTCCCATCCCTGATGTCGCTCTAGCATACTTCGAATCGACGACTCTTGATTATTCCGAAGAATTACCGCGTAATATCGATACGCATAACTACAGACAACGTACACCAAAAATAATGGCAGTTTCTACGGTAGCTGGAGAAGATCTAGAAATGATCCATGATTTTGAGAAAATCAACTCGAATTTTCAGCAGGAGACGTGACATTTTTGAACAGGGTGGATTTTGCACTTTTTTAAAAAATCGTTTTAAGCTTATCGTTGAAGTCGTTGAAAGACAACAACGACGAATGAAAGAACTGAAATGAAGCTTGACATCAGAACTGAAAGGATTTCACACGACATTTTCAAAAAAAAAGTGGGACCAGAACGAAAAATAATTGAGCCCATACAGAATAACCCTCGAGATTGGGGGTCAATAATTTTGCTGGTCTCCGGCGCAGAGAGAAAAAAAATCAATAAAACAGCAATAAGATGTCGCTATAACCTTCTCAGAAAACTTCCCTGTTTTTTCGAATGAGAAATTTCTTCCGTACTTTTATGGGTTCAGTCAAAGTTTTATTTCCTGTACAGGCAGTATTGATATTAGAACACATTTTGAAAATCAAGAAGGTTTTCAAATAAACATCATACAAACATAATCTGGAACTACACATAAACAGCACTTTCAGCAGCAGTTTGTCTAGTAAAATTACATGAACTCTACATCTTTATGTACGAAAATGAAATCAAGAGAATAGTTTGTTTAATTTTTGGGCTCGTATCAAATCTGGAAATGTCCGAAGTCTTCGTAGTTTGACATGTGAAGGAAGTTTCGTCCGGTGCTGCTCAGCTGCAAAGATGCATGTACGATAAAGAATTTCCTTACATTTTGTCAATCGTACGCAATTTATTTGTAAAATCTAACCATGCTCGAGCAAACCCTATGGAAAGTGACGTTCTTGCTTTCGACATCCCAGTAGAAAAGATTAAACTTGATGTTGACGTTCACTCTCGACATGTCGACCAACACGACACCGAAAAGACACGGAACTGCCCATATTCCGCTGAAACGAAATTTCATCTTGAAACATCTGCACATCAAATTTCATACGACTTGCAAAATTTGCCTCACACGTGTTTCCGCTTTGAGATTGAATCATATTCTGGCATCTTGAACGGATTCCTTCTTGAGTAGACGTCGAAGAAATTCGCAGAACCATACAATTGTCCTTCTCCGAAAAGCATTGGTGCTACAATGCTTCTGTATTTGAAACGAAATTGAAAATAATACTGATTCTTTTAAGCTAAAATATTTAAGAAAACGAAACCTATTCAAAGCGATAAGGTGTCCCAATGTATTTAAGCTTGTCAAGTGCGCTCGACTGTCTGCAAGCAGGTAGAAATCCTCTCGTACTGCTTTTCGATGGCTGTCAAATAAGATTATTAAAAAAATATTATGCAGGGACACATTAAAAATATATAAAGATGGAACTTCGCCAGCCATCTTCCGGAGTGTTCGTCGGCTCTGTGTTCTCCAGAAATTTCTTTTAAGGTATCTGAAAACTCCCAGTCAACTGCTGTCATCAACGCATCAAAATCTTCCGGAGTGTTCCCAATCATCTGAGAAAGAATATAGCATTCAGGGAAACCAATTGAAACTCAATAAATCTCGTTCACCTCACCGTGATGTGTAAATGGATATTTTTCTTCGGGTACTTCACGTGGTGTAAGAACCAGTACCAAGGCATCATTTCTGCGATGTGTCTGCTGTGAACCACCAAAGAAATGAAAATTGATGGCAAATCTTCCTCCTGGAAAATTAAAACCAGAGGGAAATTTTCATCAAGTGTTGGATAAATCTCCATGATTATACATAGCTTAAAACGCAACTACACATTTAACGAATAGAAGTACATTATTTTCGCGATTTTACGTCGCACATTATTCCTGTAAAGATGCGTAGAAAAACTGCGGTGCTTTGAATAATTTCTCTTTTGATAACGCCTCAATTGATTATAAATTTTACAGACTCAGGAGTGAAAAGCTCGTTTATCAATTTATTTTGAGTATTTTCACTTCAAAGTTTTTCGCGCGGCATATGGAGATTTTTCGTTTAAAATTTTGGACGGCTTTTAAAAGAGAAAACATTTCCTAAAACCCCTTTTTTTCAACAGTGAAAGGAATGTATCCACAGACGATGAAAGCATCTGAATTCGTCAGGATACAGAGGGTAATATTTCGGAAATAAACCTGATTTTTGTTGAGCTTTGTCAAAAATGATCCTTCGAAGGGCTTTTCCAAACAGCCTTCGATATCGTTCCACGCTTCAGGAACATAATTTCCGACCCAGGCTATACAATCGTGACCCGGATGTCCTTTTCTGAACAGAACACCGGGGTAACTTTTATGGACAACGCTGTAAACCCTCATATGTGGACCTTTCTTTCCCATAATGATCCCATCTGAATTCGAAAAATGATTATACAGTATTAAAAATGAAAGCAATTCACAATTTCGAGCTATATGGTAACTTGAAATGATATCTTTAGATCAAACTCAAATTAAGGACATATCTGTGAAGGTAAAACGCACCATCTGATGATAGACGATTGCAAATGTGGAAAATTCGGGCATCAAAGTCCAATTTCCACCCGAAACTCTCCCTGAATTCATCTTCTAAATACAAATCTTTTAAGAAAGTCGTCTTGCTTTTCACAACGTTTCCCTCATCCACCGCACTCAAAATCCATCCTACTTCCACGAAGAAAGCATACAAGTCGGAACCATAACCCATGAAGCCTAAGTTAAAAAAAAACATAGTTCCATATGACCATCATTTAAATGAAACTTGAACATTTTTATCTGGAAATATTTACTTGATGTGTCGAGCTCCAGACCCGAAGCATGCGTGGAATTTATCCCATAAATGCTGTGGTTTCGCCGCACTGGTATCGCAGCGGATAATATTTTTGCTTTTGCCGATTTGAACCGTTTCATGAGCTTTTTCTTCTTGCTCACGATTAACGAATTTTGTCTGATTGTGTGCGAAATACGTAATTATTCTCTAAGTAAGTATTTAAAATTTCCCAATTTTCCCCCCTCACCCAGAGACGATTAAGAACAATGTTTTCTCCATGTCCAGGATATCGTCGTATCTATTCAAAGCTGTTCTCAACAACGCTATTCTTTTAATCGCTGAAAATGTCCATCCTTCACCAACATACTGTTCAACCTGAAAAATAAAAGAAGCATTTTAAATTTCGTCGTCTAAATTCAAAGTCAAATTTTGGATATAAAGCTTGCATGCAGAGGAATTTCTGCCCATTCAAGCGATCGCTTCAGACGTTTGAAGATATCCGTCGGTGGTTTAGTGCTGGCAAGCGATGTAACGATTGCAACACAATCTATAAAAAGAATAAACAAATAAAGTTTAATTTTCATGAACGCCGTCGGTATCAGTAAAATATTTTCTTCTTCAAAATATATTATACCGAATAGACTCGGAAGTGAAACTCGATCGTTCCTCGTCATGCGCTTTTTTTTGGTACCTCAAAAACAAAACATATAATTCTCAAGAATCAGAGATATGCTGATTTTGCTCATGCTTCAATTGCCATTTTATCTTCCCATACTTCTGTAAGAAACCAGTACGGCATTCAAAATTTTTTCCTTGAACCGAAACTGCATGGTTCTCATGATTCGTTCAATTTCATTTTGGGCTCTACTTTTTTTTCAATCGAGTTTTTTGGAGGCACTTAATTGCTACACTCGAGGACCCAAAATCTCTCAATAAAATGTAAGACGCCATGTAAAATAAGAAGCATTTTGTTTTTTAAAAGCAAGTTGGTAAAAGGGCTCCTTTGTTGACGAGTACACCATTTTATTCATGCTGTTATCTGTTGGTTTCGAAGTGTTCGCTCAGAAACCTGCTATGGTAATAAAAATATCATGCTTTTTTCTAAGCAAATTAAGCTATAATTTATACAGAAAAAATAATTGTCAGAGCATTTAAAAATCAATTTACTGTATTCAATTGGCCCTTGAACCTAACACATACGAGCCGAAATTTTCCTCACTTATGTTTCTGCGAATTTTGTCAACAATCTTTTTTGGTTCATTGGGGCTTAGAAGCAATCTGAGTCTGTAGTCAGTTTCGCGTTCATCTACTTCAGACGGCGCATAAAGTGTGCCGAATTTTTCTTCGTCAAAGTCCATCGGCAAGGTGACCGCCTTTTGCCTTCGAGATGGTGTTGATTTTTCGTTATTATTGCGTTGATAAGGAGTCCGTCGACGATTTTGCTTGACTTCTGGCAGATTTCCGGCGAAATTTAAATCAAGCAAACAGCAGCCGATTATGCTTATGAAGAATGCCGCAGAAATGAGGCTTCGCCCTTCCATCACTGGAAAACATTACAAAGCTTTTGTGAACTGGAATCCGAAGTCGTTCGTGTCAGCTATTCACTTTTCCTAAATAATATGCAAGACCAATAATAGGTGAACATTACAAGGATTTATATTATTTAAATTAGTTTTTAATCATCGTAAGTCTGTGCTGATGGATTCAACGAATGAATTCCCTTGCCAATATACGAAGAGGAAAGTCCTGATGGTGGGATACTGCTTCCGGCAACGTATTAGGTGCTCAAAAAACTCACTTGGTACAGTTCGCAATGAAAAAGTCATGATTATTTTGCGCATTTCAAATCTCTGATCAAAACAAGCTCGAAGTGCATCGTAATTTTTCATTAGTTTCAAAAATGCCGTGAAATTAAAAAATAATTAGCAAAAGCAGAAAAAATTGACATAATTATATACGCACGATGTAATAGAAGCTGTATTATTTCGTTTTTTCTACACGAGCAGATGGAACTTGGGGCGAATCAGCGTGAAATCAAGATCAAATGGCGACTGAAATAGCCTCATCTATACGTATTTTTACCCACACTAAAAAACCATCACCGCTTTTGTGAAAAAACCTAGGACAACATTTTCATGAATCAAGTCTTTCTAACTATGGCATTAAATTCGATGCTTACCTTATTGAAAAGCTGCGACGCGTATAAGGCGTATGATACTGACTGAAAAATAAAATCACTGGTATTAGAGACTTGAGATTGAAATCAGAAACTTCGAAAAGGGTCGCGCACTTGCGTTTATTCCAGCGAAGCGACGGAGCAACCACGATTTTCAAATCTGCGTTTTTTTTTTTTCAAACGATCGGAGACCGAAGAAATCTCATCTTCTGTTTGATGAAAGTCTTTGAAATGAGATCACGGATAGGCAGGAAATTGTGAGGTGAGGTCTGCCTGAAAATTCTATAACTTCCTTCCATTTCTATTGACCACTGAACATGTTCAAATAACTCGATCTTAATCCGTTCGCGTATTTTAAAAATGAGGAATAAAGTAAAGCAACGAATTTTGAAAAGACAAGGATTTTCTCCATTTAATTGCATATATATCGTTATTCCTGGAAGCGAAACACAAAAACGTGTGCTTAATCTCAAGGGAAATCGACGAAGAATAAGGACGGAAAATGAGTCACCTTATTGCAGTTTTTCAATTTTTTTTGCGAAAAATTGCTTCAGAAGTGGAAAAATAGTTGAAGTTCAGACTGCTGCGATCTGCCACTATAGTGGTACCACCGGTTGACCAAGCAGCAACTAGCCAAGCAAAACTTAAATTATTATTTTGTAAATTAATTTACGAATCTTTCCATCTGAACATGAACTCTCTCATCAGAGAGCCATTAGGAGAGTGCCAACGATTAAGACCATGCTCCGCGGAGCCAGGAAGCAGGCTTGCTGCTCTTGCTGCTGCTGCGGACTGGGAGCCGGAATTTAATCAGCAGTCTGCAACCAACCACCCACCCACCCATCCGATCAGGCAGTGTGCAGTATATAGTATATAGAGAAGCCTTTTGCACTGGAGCCACACGACCTGCCCCTGACAGCCCCGTGGTGTTGAGCAACGGGGAAAAAAAAAAAAGGAAGTGCGAGCAGAAAATCTGTAAGAAACCGAAGGGATTCTCTATTCTTCGGGTCCGCGCGCTTCTTCATCTTCCTTGAAAGGGCGACTCAGAAGCGAACGCTGTGTCCAGAACATGTTTCATTAGCTGCTAACGATTCGTAGAGCGACTTTCTCAGCAAAATGTTAGCGAGGGTTCGTCATAGAACTAACTACGTTCTGAACTCAATCCTAAGCACGCTTCTTACCATTTTTGTACAATAAAAAAATATCAGGTAACCAATAATCTTATTTTCTTTCATGTTGAAAATCCACAATCTCTTGAAAAAAGCTCATTAACTGTATTTCAATACAGACTTTTTCATATAAATCAATTAAATGTCAGTATAATGACTCAATTAGATTCGAATTATTTACGCATAGGAAATGAGAAACAAAACTACGATGGTTTAAATGTATCCAGCGATGAACAAACAAGGCTCAAGGAAAATGAAAAATCAGAAAAAATACAATTTTCTCCCTGAATTTGACTTCATGAAAGCCCACAATGAATGTAAATAATGGCGCACAAAACTGGTCGAATGAAACGTGTGTGCAAAAACGTTTTAAAACGAGAGAAAAGCCATAATTTTTTTCAGTTTGGAATCGTCGCATTATTGTTGAAAATAACAGCAACTCTGATGAATTAAGGAAAAAGGATAAAATAATCTAAATATCGCGAGGTGTTAATTTCAGAAGTACAGATATCGCATACTTCGGGAAGTTAGTCTGTCCTTCGCTTTTAAATCCAATGCGAAAGAATAACTTGAAAACCTTCCACGAGAGAAAATTATGTTGTTACAGTATTGAATGAAAATGACCTGTTAACTCTTTAAGAATTGAATTCTGTCACTTCAAGTCTTGTCTTCGAAATATGGGTTTCCTCAAAAACATATTCCGTCATAAATTTATTTCGAGCTTCTGTTATGTACGAATTTCTCTCTCTTTCTCTCTCTCTCTCTCTCAATCTCTGGAGAGCAAAAGAAGTTCTTCTGCACATTCTAGACAGAAATGCATCTGCAACATTGTCATAACTTTCCTTCCAATCTGGTACGAAGAAAAAAGTGGTTTGATAGATTATACACGCGTCATCATGGACCTCCTATAAAAAAATTGGTCAAATAAAAATTATATAGCGTATAGCGTTATCACAAAAGGAGTGATCATGAGTCCATCACTTTCCCAGCATACATTATTTCCAAAGTTTCAGAGCTTCATTCCATCTCAAAAGGATCAAGAAAGTTTGTTTCTTGATCTCAGAAGTTTTGGACAGAAACGAGATCTAACACGGTTACATAACTCCCAGGAAAAAAAAAGAATAAGCTGGGAGAAAACCCGCGTAATAACAGACCTTCCTTCGTCACGGTTGTCATGCAGCGGTCATAGGCTCCGGTACCCACGGGACAAGGTCGCAGGAACCTGGGGTCAGTGCAGTCCTCGTGACGCTGGACCCGACACTGATACCGCGTAATAACAGACCTTCCTTCGTCACGGTTGTCATGCAGCGGTCATAGGCTCCGGTACCCACGGGACAAGGTCGCAGGAACCTGGGGTCAGTGCAGTCCTCGTGACGCTGGACCCGACACTGATAGCAAGACATATTTCTCGGCAACTCCGCCAAAGCTAAAAAAAAAGAAGACGCAATAAGGTTTTTCGTATTTTATTATTACACACAAAAATTCTAGCCAAAAATTTCAAATTCGGATAATTCAGTCGAATTATTAGATATCATTTTTGTTCATGCAATCTTCGTCTCCGATTTAAGAAGTCCATAAAAATCAGTGGACCAAAAACGATAGATGTACTGCATTTTTGAATTGTTGCATCATCTGAAAAAGTCAAGTCATTACGCAAAGCAAAAGAGAGCGTCAAGCTGAAGCCTATTCAAATTCATTCAAATTTTAATTCGTTCATTTAAATAATTACAATAATAATAAACTCAGAGAAAAATCGCCCGGAGCTAATGTTTAAAAAAAATAGAGATTGGGGGTTCATGTGAGCGTCGTCCAATTAGATTTGTTTCGGAATACCCGACGAATATTCAGCCATAAAATGTTTTTGCAATTTAATCGTTGAAAGTGAAACATGTATTTCCTCCCAGTCAGATGATCAGAATTTAACATGACGCCCAGAGCTTCACGTTTTTGTCAGCTTAGAAAACCCGAAGTAAAGTCACATTGAAACTTCGGGCTAAAAGCGCTTCACTGAGCTCAGCCAATGAGCTATTAATTAGCCCTAATTGGCAAGCTCTTGGAATCCGTGTGCGACAAGCTTATGTTCTATACTGTACAGTATATCAATAAAATGTCCGACATCTCTGATTCCATCTGTGTTCGAGGCGAGGACAAGTAAAAGATCTTCAACATCTACAGGAGTTTCTCACGCAGAAAAAGTCAGACAATAGCAAACTACTGATGGCTCTGTTTGTCTTCAAGTCAGATTTTCATTTCTTATATTTCTTCGACCCTTTATTCCTAAGATACAAACGTGTATGACAAAATAATTGAAAAAGATCAAGCGGAAGACTTTGTTAACGGGAAACGGGAAAACTGTATTCCCCTCCCATTAGAACACAGTTTTCTTCTCTTCGTCATCTCATAAATATTTTAAAATATTTCTTAGGAGGCCTGAAATATGACTCCGGACTGACATCATATTTTTTTTATGAATGTCATAGAGGTATTTGAAAACAGTATCAACCTGTTCTACCAAAAATGCTATCCATCGTGTTTTTCGGCAATTTTTGAAGTTGAATCGTCAGCCTTTCGGAAGGAACAGCTTCGCATTGAAATATAGATCGAGTGTTCAAAGCAGCCTCGTATCTCAGCTCGAATTCAAATTATGACGCTACAGCGGGGTTCAGTCTACGAGTATTTCTAGTTTTATTTTACTAACTCACCGTATTCATAATTTCAGCCGTTTTATAACAAACAAACAGCAGCACGGATGGCAGAAATTCATAATCTCTTCCCATGGGATGCATGTTTCGTAATTGGAATTCCATCCCACGAGATGATGAAAACATGAATTTTCTCTCGTCTCGTCATGTCCCAGCAGAGGCAAATAGCATATGTCTGATATGTTTCCTTCGTTTTGCGAATGAAAGCGGCGATTCAGGAATCGGATGGTGGAAGGACAAGGTCTCCATGGACGATCAATACGTGATAAGACTCAAGCCGTAAATCATCCTTTATATTCCCCACAGCAGGCAGTCATATTCACCTGATTTTTATCTCTCTCGTTTCCCTTTTTCCTTCACGTCATCAAGCTGATTTCCATGCGCCATTAAAGGCATCAGCATTCCGGACTAGATGAGTGAGTACAACGGGGACTTTTTTTTGGGTGCTGCTGTTGTACGTATCAAGAGCATAAACTTGGCTCGAATATAAGGGAAATTTCACAGAACCTCTTGGAGCTCCTCGTTTTCCGCGAAATTCCCTTACATTCGGTTGACACGCGATTTATTTCCCGCTTAACGCACTCCTCGGAAAACATACCAGTTAAATGTGAGAGAATTGAGAGAGGAAATGCTCGGAACTCTGAAGAACATACGCCATACAGAGATGATCATCCGCAAATGACATTGTCTATGTGATGTACGTGCTGCATCAGCTGTAAGCTTGCTTCTATTCTCCCTCCACAAGCTGGGTAAATGTCGTTATTACCGTCTCTTCCGAGCGGAAAAACCTCTCAAGGGATTTTGAGAAGTCTCGAGATAAATTTTCGGGCTTCATATACACCCCACTCGCTATCAGCCTGAAAGTTTCGCATTTCCTTGTTCTCTGCGAGAGAGAGAGAGAGACTGAATGAGTGTAGCATATATACTGTACTATTAACGAACCCCCGTGGTAACACGTGACTCATGTGTAATTTCCCCACCAGGCTTTACTATGTCTTTTACGCAACGACGACCTTTTTACAACCGTACCCAAAATAAACTCGACCTGAAAAATCTCGACGCGGAAAATTCCGGAAGGGCTGCTGGTGCTTTACAAAAGAACATATTTGACGTGGACGAAGAGATGCTAACATTTAAAAAAATAATATTTATAATAATTTTTCCACTTTGGCTTGATCCAGACTTTTGATAACCTAGAAAACAATTGGCATTGGGAGTGCCTTACCGGGTATTAACATCACCACTGAAGACAGTCCACTAATCATTAAAAATAAAATCAGAAATACTGTATACCAGCATTTACACGGCGATTTTTCTATACTTGACGTTTAAGAACATATTTTGGCAAATAGTTTTCACCAAGATACTCTTTGATTTGAGGGAAGTTCCGAAAATCACAAAGGAATCTTTAATTCTATAAGATAGTCTGATGTGAAACTAATTTTCGAAGCGATCGTATAAAAATTTGGTAAATCAGATTCATCAAGACTTTTACTGGTTGACCTTGCCACTATGATGATTAATTATGATGTCAACTGCGGAAATATTTACTACTTCATTCTTGGGTACAAATAATGTTCTTGTAATAATGCAATTGCTTCGTTTGCTATATTTTCTATATTTTAAATATTTTCTAACTTTATTTCACGGCAATTATAATCCCAACATGTCTAAAACCGTAATTCTATGGATAAGGTTATGAAAAATTCCACGTTAATAAGCAAGGATTTAGCAAATATGTTTCGTATTTGTCTGGTTATACTGTAATGCGAAATTTCCACATGTCGATTTGTATAAAATGTGCAATTTGAAAAATTGAAGATTTTTACGTAGCACTTTGAGATTTTTCCATGAATTTTCAAGCGCTTTTGCGATTTTGGAATCTATGTCTAAGTGATGAGGTTTTTTTTTTTTAGTTTCCGAGCTAAGAGTTTTACAGCTGAACAGAAGTTTTTCAGCTAAATAGGAACAAAGCCGTTTTCTCATTATCGTAAATGTCGCAGGTCGAAGTACAGTACTGGCATTTATGTACACTAATACGATACATGCCATCACAGAACATTTGGCGCGGAAAATTTGCACATCTGATGACTCATCACGATTGGAAAATAATAACTTCGAAATATTTTTCTGCTAACGATAGAGTCACAACGGATAAAAGTAATCGCCAGAATTGTATTAAACATTTAAAAACTCATCAGTTCTATGCAATAATAGCAGCAGTATCTGTTGTCGGTCACGTGTTTTCAGTTAACGATTACTGTACACGGATTTTTCTGCTTCCCTTTTTTTCTGAAATTTAAAAATACAGAGTTTTTATAGCTAAGACAGTACTGCAATTCAAACGTTGAATTCACGGAAACGTTAAGAAAATCATGAATTTCAAGCCACCGCTTCATACTAATTTAAGCCACCGACTTTGTTTCCGAGTTGTTCGCTTCCTCAGTATATACGGTTTATCCATGGAAATGGAAGAATTTATGGAAAAAAATCCGTCATTTCAAATCCCCAAAGATCGAACTTACAAAGGCACATGCGAAAGGAATAAGCCTGAATTTGGGTAAGATATAGCTGCATGGGAAAAATATCCATGGAAATGGAAGAATTTATGGAAAAAAATCCGTCATTTCAAATCCCCAAAGATCGAACTTACAAAGGCACATGCGAAAGGAATAAGCCTGAATTTGGGTAAGATATAGCTGCATGGGAAAACGCCCAGGATTCGTTTTTATACAGACACCATCGCCCTGCTGAATTTCCTGTTTGGATTCGGGGCGGAGATGAACCTTTCACAGCTGACGTTCGACGGCAAAAACGAAAAATCTCCTGTCCCAAGGGATACCATGGGTCATGTAAAAAGTCTTTGAGAACCCCTGTGAAAAAAGATTTTCTTCAAAAAGGAATTTTCTGTACGTATTTACGCCGAACCCCGTATATATAGTTCTTGTACTAGTATACGAGGTAAATGGAAATGATCAATCGGAATCGGAAGCTGTCAGGTGAATATCGTCGAGGAAAGAATGCTCTTCTCTTCACCCTGTTCATGGGAGATGAATGAATGCTCGACATGCTCCTCAAGGCCTATATGTGGGTCATGGGCTCGAATTCCTACATAGAAATATACCTTTTATTTTTCCGTCGAGAATCGTGAGTCACAAACAAAAATAAATGCTGTTCTTCTTTAATCCTTGCTACTATTGTCATGCTGGGGAATTAACTTCTCTGGGTTATATCAAACTCGAAAATTACAAATAAAATTTTTGTTTTCTATCGAGGTCAAAAGGATCTCTTCTAAACTCACCCAACGGAAACAAGGAGAATATTCCCATAAAAAACAGCATCATGATCCACAGCAGCAACTGAGCCTCCTAAAATAAATGATTAAAAATGAAAGATATACTCGCAAAAATGTGCAATGATCCCGAAACTTGATTACAACATTCAAAATTCTCACCAGCCGTCGTTGAAAAGTAGACTTTCGAATGTTACGTGAATTCCATGTCGAAATATCCATCATAATTTGAAACACATGCGTCAATTTTTGGCGACAAATTAAAAGTTTCCATATCGCAGATCTGTTGAAATAAAAGTTTGGGGCATCGATTTGTAAATTTAAATCTGAATGCACGCAGAATAAAAGCAAACTTTTGAAAATATTCAAGTCCAGCTTGTCAAACCTTGAACATTAGACCGTTTCAATAAATTTAAAGGCTATTTCCGATATTTGATGAAAGGCTATCGCATCGGAGTAAAGCCAGCCTATGTTTATCGGAGTGGTTTGAACATTGTTCACAGAAAGAAAAATGGTTCAGTCAAAATCACAGAAAAAGGTCGAAGTTTTCATTTGAATACAGTACACAGAAAGGATTTCATCAACTGTATATAAATAACTTTGAAGTACTTTGATCCCTGAACAACTTGACGAGGAACTAATGTCAGATTAACGCTCTTTTTTGTAAACCATTTGCAAGTTTACGGTCACAGTTGCATAGCTATGAAAAGGATTAAACAGAAACAATTATCCATAAAAAATCCTCACAGTGTAAAAGGCGCTGTTGAAGAATTTGTTAACAAAATGCTCGATAGGCCATTTCGTGACTTCAATCTAAAAAAAACTAAAATTTTCTGAAAACCGGTCGAACAATGAAGCGTGACGCTTTTGTGACATTCAATTTTCTCTTGAATGACGTTTAATTTTACGGGCATATTCTTTGTTCCTTCAAAAAGATGAACATTCGGAGAGAGTATTACAAGCAAGGAGGTGGTTAAAAATTGGAAAAAAGAAAATGCTCATGCGTTTTCCTGTCATCTCGCGTTTTCCAAAATTGCGACATTTTATTTATATTTGCACACACCCTGCAGCTCGAATGAGACCTCTTTCCAAAATTCAAATTTCTTTGGAATTATGAAAAAATTAACAAATCCTCGTAGTCTACTAATAAAAAAGCAGGGACAATATTAAAGAGAGGAACGATGACACTATCATTAAAATTTATTTTACGTTTTTCAATCCTCTCAGGCCTCTTCTATCTCAAAAATCCAGAGTTTTTCTTTTCGAAGTGGGTATAATACCATGAACTTGATCCCTTTTCAAAATATCCAAATTTCATTTGACCAAGAATACATGGTAAAAATGTTTCCCCGGTCATCTGAGTTATTTATTCTAAAAAAAATTGAGAGAGAGAGAGCTTCTTTTTTAAATTATATATGTGGATCATGCAGCGAAACTCAACCCTGAAATTTCGCTTTATTTTTAATGATGATTAATTCAAGATGATCGTTGCTGCTGACAAAAAATGACTTTCAAAGAGATAAACGAGACGCTGCTTGGAAATTTTTTGAAAAATTCTCATAAGTTTTTAGGTCATTTCTGGGCTTGAAGCTCGTAGAAAATCGAGTGATTCTTTCCAAAGTGGGTCACGCAGCTAGTGAAGCTCGACACCTCTTCCCAACGCACTGTACCTATGTACACACGTTCCTTTTCTCTCCACTGCTGGATACGATCAAAAGGAAAGCAGAGATGCCCGAAGCGCGACTGTCTCTGCAGCGGGGGGCGAACTGCATGGAGAGTAAAGTGAGCCCACCAGCACACGAGCTCCTCATTTCCTATAGTGATACCCCCCATATATACAGCACACATGGCGCGGGAAAATTGCAGGGGTATTCTAGGAAGCCCCATCCCGAGGTTGTCGAGGTCGGGAACCAGTCTTTTTTTACCCTCCAGGGGATTGTTCCCCAGCGTGCAGTATATAGTCGCACTCCTTCAGGTTCTTCTTCATATCTAGATATAGGAGATGATTCGAACAACGATCAGGCTACGAAAATGGGGGATCATCAGCTTCTGCGAGATCGGGCATGGGAACATTGCGGTAAAGAAAAAACCTATTCGTCTCGGAATTTCTTCTGATACTGTACTTGCAAAGGAAACCTGAGTTAACAAGAGTTCGTTATACAGTATACAGGATATTTTTAATCACAGGCACATATATGCTCTGCTGCCGATTTCATAAAAGGAGGACCTATCGTTTAAGCGAAAATGCTTACTCTGAATGTTGTGTTAATAATGCCATGTAGGAACTTTTTTATGTCTTTGCTACGGAGTTGTTTACGACGAAGGATGTTGAAAAGAAAGGTTGTGCTTACAATTTTCTTCCTACAGTTTATACTTTTTTATAACGTATTTGTTAATATGATACCCTATGTAGAGGTTTTATGCCTAAAAGATGACACGAATCTACTCCAATGATCGGGAATTGACTGGATCTATTCAATGATTCAAGAAAAGATAGATGGCATCGAGATGTCGACGTAGATTGGGGTTTGTAAAGGTTTCCTCAATTTCTGATTTATAAAAAAAAACGGAAACGCGTAAAAACAAGGAAAAAATGCTCAGAAATTTTTTTTGCTGTTTGGAAAAAATGATGCCATTAAATGTTGATGGCTCAATACTGTGCTTTGTATATTGATGGAACTCCTTGTACTCTTTGAATACTTTGCAAAAATCACAAAGAATTGACGCACAGATTTAAGTGAGTTATCAGGATTTATTCATGCGGCGATAATAACGCGTGGTAAGCCTGAAAGATGGCCCATGCAGAGCTAGTAAAATTTGAAAATCAGGACAAAAAACTCCAACGGTTTAACAATTTTTGTTTTAAAATTCTATCAAATAATTTCCGATTACAACTTTCAATTGATTATTACTGACTTTACTCTATCTTGTTTTTGCGACTCAGTTGACGGGTTGGGTCACTTCAATTTCTTGTGTATTTATGTGTTGAAATTATGCAAAAAAAGTTCAATTCATGGATTCTAAAAAAATGTACAAGTTATGCAAACATCACTCAGTTGCGCATTTTCGCCCATTTTACTGAATTCAATCAGACTCATTCAAAATTCATTATCAATCTCATAATGAATTTCGATATAACGCGATCAAATGACTCGCAATAATGAACAATAATACGCACGAGAGCTTTTAAAACACACAAATGTTTGATTCTTCATGAATCAATTGAAAAAATTTTCTTCGGTATAATCAAGTGGATTTCCCCCTCTCAAAAATCAACAGTAGCAGTATTTTTCCAGGGACGGACAAACTCTCTCAATGCACTTCGCATGAGGCGAAAACCAATCCATCCTCGAAAAGTAGTAAACCTGTCGAAATGAAAAAAAATCTGTTAAATGGATCAGAGATCGAAGCAATTATAGCTCGTAAAATTTTAAAATCAATGAAGTAAAAATATAGGTATATGATCCAACGAAGTCTGAACTTCCATGCCAGCGAAATTTCTGCTGTCGACCCCAAGTCAAAATTTGCATGATTTATGACTCCTCGCGGATAATTTTTGCCAGAATCAACGCTCGCAAAAGAAATACAATTTTCCATAAAATGAGGTAATTTGCATATGCAAACGCGAGGCGCTTCTTTACCCGACATGAGGATGATAGTGTCTCCTGTTGTTGTCACCTTCAGCATCGTCGACAGTGAAGGGAAGAAAAATTCGCAAATATCGAAGTTTCGACTAATACCTTTTTATAAGTTCTCCCGCCGAGCTAAAAAAATGAGAAGGAAAAAATAAACGTAAAGTACTTACTTAGTTCGTTCTTACTGAGTGCAGCTGCCACGAGAACAACCACTGTCCGTTGTGCCAAACTGTCGCCAGGAAGTGACCTGGTCCAGGTCTAGCCACAATAGTAAGTTCGTACTGTAATGATACAGATTCTTCCAATTCGTCATCGTCCAACTTTGTCTGGTTTCCTTTCATAAAGAAGAAAAAGAAGATAAGTGAGATTTCAAGTAATTATTAAATCTCTCCAAATAATCTTACTACTAAAGCAAAAATGCTATCCCTAAAATTGTGGTATTGTTGTATCATAACTTCAAGTATAATCTTACCAGTCGATTTTTGGACATTATTTTTCAATGCTGAGTTGAAAATCTGTCGATATAAACTCATCTCAAGTTTAAATGTGTGTGAAACCTTCTTTCACGCAGATGTTAATCTCATAATTAAGATCTTTTTTGTGGATATGATGTACTTTTGAGTATACAATTGAAAGTACTGTACAGCAGTTTACATAAATCAATCAACGTGCATGAATATTCCGTCAAATTTGCTTTCTACACTTGGAGTAAAATACTAATCAGTTAAAAGAGGTGATACTGTGACCACAAACGATCTGTAACAAAAGAGAAAGTCTCAAAACATGAAAAAGAAACCTATGATCAGCCAACTTTAACCTTATTTACACGCAGCCCGACCCTGCGTATACTCAAATGAACCTACCCCACCTTAAGTTATTCAACCCAAACCTAAATCCAACTAACCAAAGAAAAATATTAAGATGAGCTTAAAAACTTTATTCGAAGCTGAGCTATAGCTTGAAATACAGTATAATGCACTCATTTGTGACACCGATCTTTCACAGTCTAACCTAGCTTTTGCGTTTTCAATACTATAATATTATTACTGTATTTAAAAAATTAATTTCGAAGTTCATAAAACCAAATGAGGAAATAAAATTAAACGGGTGGTATATTTCAGGACATCGATAAAACCTCCTTAAAAATTCGCAGATACCATAAAACGTGTTAGCTTTCATTTGTTGAAAATTGAATTTAGGTTTTTAAATATTTTCAGTCTCCCCCCTCCCCCTGAGAGATCTTCCCATTAAATTTTTTTCGTTGTAGCGTACGAAAGTCTTTCTTGCAACGATATACAGCACTCGAAAAACTGTATAAATATATATATATATGGCAGGATATACTGAGTTGAAAGGTAATACGCGTGAATGGAGACCTTTGCTAGCCACGATGAGATGGGCTCGTTCGATCTTCTCCAGACTCCATTCCCTGCAGAATGGATGATAGGAGTCTGCGTTGGGCAATAGACCCGTTTTGTTGTCCACCTTCGTTTCCATGGCCTTCACGAATCTCGAGTAGGCCGGCATCTCCTTAACGCACCACAAGAGCCACGACTGAACACGCTTATTCAACTCGACTATCACATCTTTCGCTAGTTTATGCAAGATGTCGCTGTGTTTGCTACCGGGAGCTGTACTGACTTCCTTCACGTTTTTGCAGGCACAATAATGGCTTTGAACCTGAGCCATTGCGCAGGTTCTACCTTTAGGCATTGGGGCGAACATCGTCAGACCGGGTGGTAGGTTTTGTAAAACCGGAACTGTATCAAGGTCCATGATCTGTTTTCAACGACAAGTAATTCAAGGATACTCCGGAAAATGACTATGCTGTAAAATTACTGAAATATAACATCCGATCCCACCTCAATCTCCGCTTTCATTTCTTACAAACCTAAATTGTGCGAGAGCACCTTCAAAAATTTACTAATGAACGATCTTAAATAGAGTTTATAAACCATTTACTGATTCTAACAACGCTCAATTAACAAGCTAAAAAAATGCAATTTAAATTTAGTTACAAATGCATTTTCAAGCGATATGGTGAACAAAAAGTTCAACTTTCCATGTTGGAAGTGCAGTTTTGCTCGTATAATTGAAAACTAGGGCAGTATTGAGTTCTTCTCGCCGCCAAAAAAAAAATTATCGGAAAATTCGGACCTTATTTGATGCAAAAAAAAACATTAAAGAACATTTCTCATGCAATATGTAGCCAATTTTAAATTTTACAGCAATACTTTTTTAGGGATCTGGGCTGTAGAAAAATTTTAAAACTAATATCCCATCATGTCGGCCCATGTCAATGTTTCTTAACAGGTTCGTCAACAATCGGATTTAATGCTTCGCGAGTTGCCAATGTCGAATTTTCCTGAACCTTATTGAATTCGTTTAAATTTAAAATATTTGTTAATAAATAAAAAAGCAAACCAGACGTTAAAAATCACATAATGTCAATTAGACACCAAGAAGTTTGGGTTTTTATTGAGATTAACGCAATACTAAAATCAAATGTCCGTTGGAACTTTTAGAAAAATCTATTACGTCATTCATTCTCCATTTTTTGGTCTTTGGGGATACTTTCTTATAGACTTGCCTACAGTACAAATCCAATAGATCAAGAGGGTTTTAAATGATGTTATACAGATCACATGTGAGTAATTGGAACCAAGCAGATTGGCAAGAAAGAAAGACTTTCAAAATTAGTACCTGCAAGCTAAGAAGACTTTTGATAGTGTAGTGAAGATCCAGGGTAGTCACAAGCCGTTTTGAATTGACCAACAGATTTTCCCAGGCCTNCAAGCAGATTGGCAAGAAAGAAAGACTTTCAAAATTAGTACCTGCAAGCTAAGAAGACTTTTGATAGTGTAGTGAAGATCCAGGGTAGTCACAAGCCGTTTTGAATTGACCAACAGATTTTCCCAGGCCTTTGGAAATTTAGTTTTGAACCAAGGAGGCATCATGATATTCATCATAGGTCGGCGAAGTTCTATGGTACCTTGGCGAGTCATGGTCAATGCGTGTCCTCGAGGTCCATGATCAGCCATAATCACAATCATAGTCTCATTTCTCATCTTTGGCGAGTTCAACCAGATTAAGTACTCCAGGAGCTCATCGTCGATCATGTCCAGTTTGTTCAGATCATCGTGTGAATAAGTTCCTTGCAAGGTAAAGCTCAGTTTTGGCTTTTCTGAGTATGTTTCCCAAAATTCTTGAACATACGTTTGGGTCATCTGGAATCACGACATAAATAGAATAGATTGAAGCAATAATGCTGGAATTTTATTTCTCGAAAAATAGATAACGATAGTCTGTAGCTTCGGGACTTTTTATTTTAATGAAATTTTATTTTTCTCATTAACGGCGATTTTAAGAATGCTCGGGTTTATGTTCCTCAAGTTTCGAGACTTTAATCACTTTAATGGGCTCAAAAATCTCTTTTAAACTTGATACAAGTTTTTATCCCGAGCAAAAAAAAATTAAACACAGAGCATTGCATTTGTGGGAGCATTTTTATATTAAATTTTACGCGAAAACGGGTGTGCACATGTTACGGATTTATTCTACTGCATTAAAAGTGTATGAATAATGGGATTTTTTTAAGATCACTGAAGTGTCCCTGAATTAGATGAGGATGTATAGTTGAAAGCTTTTTGACAACAGCCTTATGGATTTCGAAATTTGAATAAAAAGGCCCGTACGCCGATGTTATTTAATCTCAATTAAAACTTTTGGCCCGCATCCACGAATTTTATGTTTTCTCTTAATTTATGGGAATTACGCATGAGATGCGATACTTTGACGGGAAATATCAGCCGACAAATTATTATTTTTTTAGAGAGAGAGAGAGAGATGTATGATATTTGAAAACTGACTCCATTGCAGGATTTACTGTAGCAACACTGCGAATTATGTCCAATGTATTTTGCCCGCTCCAACATGTATGCCCTGGTGTAATGATCAGCAATCTCGGATCTGAATCCCTCTCCCCAATGCTGAAATGTTCCCCAGTTTTGTTCATCCTCAACAAATGCAGTCACATAGCCTCTCTTTCGGAAGTGACTGAAAAGCGTCTCTCCAATCAAATCTGACACGTACGCCTTATTTGGACCCGAGAAAGTTCGCTCACCTGTTGTAAAAAGGAACGAACAAACTTAAAAAAAAAGCTAACATCATTTCGTTTGTCAAGGAATAATATTTAAATGCGCTCCCTCAAATTTTTGAGTGTAATACATTTAATCTTCGATTCGAAATTCCTCGTTTACTTCTGGTTTTTTTCCACTTCCTAATTTTGGAGTCCTGCAAAAATTAGCATAACTTCGCAAGGTGTCATGCTGGTGTCGCCTTAAATCACTAATCAGAAAAAAACACTGGAGAACCTAACGACACTCAGAGACCTAAAAAAAAAAGTAATTCGTCATTCAGAGAATATTTTGTTACAGAAGAGCCGCTTATAATGTACACTAATATAGAGAGTTGGCTATATGATAAGTCCAAGGCGCAGAACCCTACAACTTTTAAAATCGAGATTATTTTTCGTTACACTAAATACAGAAAACAAGTGATTGTGAAGAGTGCAACTACAGTATATCACATGTACCAAGATACATCAATAAAGCATAGTGATTCGCCAACAATTGAGATGCAGATAAAGTCATAGATTTGCGAACTGTTGGGGTCGGGTTGAACAGGAAAGAACATGTCATCGCCCTTTGTCAGGATTTCTGAATAATCTAAAGTAATTTCTTCGAGATCGTTGGGTAAAATTGAAAGTGGTACCAGTGACGATTGGACACAGTGCTGAGAACGTGCTCTCTCCCAAAACGTTGTATCCGTCCATCAGAACTGAATCTTGCATCTGATCTCTCATGTAACTCCACGATTTCGGCAGCTTTCTCAAAAAATTGTTCTTCGACGTTGAATCAAACGCCCAAATCAGGACGTTGATCGGACCTGCGACTGTCGAAGGAACCCTATGCCAACCTGTGGTATCTTCCAACGTTGGCAGACGCCGTGCACCAGCATGAACTTCGTTCCAACTTGAAAGTACATTTTCGAATATAATATATTTAAAAGGAAAAGAAAGCTGTGTTTTTCATGAAGTAAAAATTCATTTAAATGATGCATGCATGAGGAAAAAAAGGAACCTCACGTTTTTCCTGAGTTGAAGTCGGTGCATTGTACCCGGATTCCGTCACTTAATTGCAGCTCGAACGGCCCGTCATGCCATTTCGTGGCGAAGTAATCATGCGTTTTATCATCTTCCCGATAGATTTCTGCACACAAAAATCTCATCACCGAGTCAAGTTTTTAAAACTGCAACTAATTTAAAAGTCTCCACATGAAAAAATTCTTCGAGCACATATACAAAAAATAATAATTCAACAAACTCTGACCACTCATCTTTTCCAAAATGTATGTTTCATCACGTTTTCGAAAGATGTTTTAGTCGGCTTATGTAATTCACAATTTACAGGTGGATATTTTGTACTGAAAGCTTTGAAAGGGGGAAATTTAATGAAGAAAAACATTGAAGCATGATATAAATATAAATCAATGACAAGATGAATTGAAATAATCAGCGGAACTATTTAAAATAATTTTTTCAAGAAAAGTAAATTTTAAAATCATGGGAAATTCAGCAGAGAAATCAATTGATGGGCTACAGAGAAAAATTATTCTGAGGAGAGTTCAACCGTTTCAGAGAAGTGTCTTTAGAATAGCGCATATTTATTAGTGCACCAATGACAAGGTATGCTAATTATTTTTTCCCACGCCATATTCTTCTCCTAAAATGTCTCTGTTGTGTTCATTACAATTTTTTGCATCTAGAATTTTCATTCTGAATTGAATCGAAATCTATATATTGCATGGTGTTCGCTGCCGACATCGCGTATAAATGCGGAATAGAATAATGTTGCCTCTTGCAGACGTGAATTAGCTGTCGGAGTCAGAAAAGGATTCAAACCTGTGAAATTGCATCGAATCGTTGATAAACTGTCATTTTTCACGTAAATCGTGTGACCTTTGACGAAAGCTGTCCCGTTATCCCAACACTTGAGGGGTCCATTGGCTTTGATGAACTTCATCATGTGCGGGGCAAATGTTGGCAAATCGTATTGCTGGCAAGCAACTTCCGGATCATTGTTGATTCGCGAAAAAACCCAATCCGCGGATTGAGCTTGCAGTGAATCGGATTTTTTCCGGATGTCACCAAGAATAGATCCACTTTTCGATTTCACAAAGCTAAGGATCGCTTCTTTCCCAAAAACGGCGAAGATGATGAAAATGATCGCAGCTAACGCACTCAGCCACGCACTGAAAATATTCAACTTTAAGGTTTCATCGATAAAAATAAGTCAGGTGAATCTTGATTGGATATCATTCAAGAATGTTTATCGACTCACGCGTTCTGATGAAATTTCCTTCGGAACTTCATCCTCATTTTCTCACTCGAATGCAGATGTTTGATTCCTTTTGGCAAGAGCATAAGAAATAAGCAAACGTTTTCAACGACGTCTGGAATATTTAAAAAATGGAAATAAATATGAAGAAATAATCGACGAATGGAGAGTTTCAAAGCACAAACTTCTTCCGCATATATACTCAAATTAAGTCACTTAGGCTTGTATAATAGGGAAGCATACCAAATTTGTTTATGTGATTGCGTGGTAGCCAGTGATATGCTGCATTTGACACGTGCTCGAAAATTTCCTGTCAGATTCTTCGTGCAAGCTTTCAGGTGACTGAATGCAAAAAAAAAACTTGGACGAAATCAAAACAGTGCTGCAACAGAAAGGAAGTTCCGTGAGAAAGAAGGGGCCCAATTCACACGTCGCTGCCACTGCAGAATTTGCTCAAGTAATGACTGATATGAAGGCACCCGATTGATCAGTCTCAAGTTTATTGACGGCTTCACTTAAAAATGCGAAAAAAGAAGACCGTGAGAATGGTGAATCGGTTAATTGCTAAATACGGTTCTGCATGGACCAAATATTCCAAAAGAGTTCTATTTTTTAGGAATTGGCTCGAAAAAGATGGCTTTTCAAAGATATTCTTCGTAGGCGTGGAAAGACACATTTATATTTTTTAACTTGAAGGAAAAACGGCATTCCAGCTTCGAATTCCAAGGGCGTCGGAATTCTCCTTCATCAGCTGACGTCGATGGATGTCGATAATTCATCAGTGGATGTTCTTCAAGGCATCTGAAGTCTTTCCTAACGTCGGGGACCTATCGGTAAAATACAGTACTTACCTTAATCATCCTAGCTATATATGCATCACTTTCCGATTTTCCAATAATAAAAAAGCATTAAAAATAGCGAGTAAAACGTCTAAAAACTCACATCGACAAAAAAAGACGTGATTAATTCCAGACATTCCTGAGAATATCGGAGTAATGCTTTCTTTTATATATGCGCAGTACTAGACTCCACATGATTTTTCAAATTTTTAAAACCTGTTCGTGTGACTGAGCATGTTATCTTTTATTATTTTTTTAAACATCATGTTGGTCCTGAGACTCTTGACTACGACAAGAGAGTCCATTTTTAGACTTCATTTAGGTCTCAAGGAAATAATTTGCTTTGAAAATTAGCTAAGCTTTCTTTTATTGAGTAGAAATAGGAGCTCAGTTTTTCAAATCCGAAAATAGAAACAGCTTCAAGAAACGTTCTACTGTAACTTCGAAATGCTTAAGGTATATTGAAGGAAAATAACACGAACATGGATTGTATGAAGCTGCCCTATATGGTGTCAAACAATATTTTTTCCTTCAAATGTCATGCTGACACGATTGAAATCTTGAGCTAGAAAATTCACAGGATCCAAATTTCGAAGTAGTCAGTGTTTTTGCGTTTGAGCAAAAAATCCCGATTTTAAAAATAGATTCCTGCAAACGTCATTTATTTCCGTGACGCACAGTAATCCTTCCCAAAATCTTCAAAAGTTCCAGTGAACGTTCGCATTGTGCNAAATCTTCAAAAGTTCCAGTGAACGTTCGCATTGTGCTTCTCACATTGTGTAGAAGAGTAGGAAGACGTGAAAGAGAAAATCTTTAAAACTTCCGAATGTTTAAAAAGGATGAAAAAGTTCCAATTTCAGTATACAAAAATTGAAAACTGATTTCGGAGATTAAATTTTAATTTTAATAAAAACATCAAAATTTAAAGAAATCCAATCGCTTGATTGGATTTCTACACTTTCATGACGCAATTTGAGCCGTTTTCAGCACTGATTCACATTCAACCGTCTGCAAGTATCGAAATCCTTTAAATTTGCGCTCAATAATCAACAAATTAATTTGTGCATTTCTAAATCTAAGAACTAAAACGTTTCCGATGTACTTTCGAAATAAATCGAAAATATTTTTCATGTACTTTAATGCATTTAAATTTTCGAAATTTTTCGTGGAGAAACTGCAAATGTGATTACTTAAAAAGTAAGTTTTTACGAGTCGCACAGAAAATGCTCTCCTAATTTTAAGGGCTGCTTAGCGACATCTTCACACGTTTGGTAAAAGCGTTCCATAAATTTGGCGTGTTCTTCCTTCTGGTGACACCAGTACTGAACTCTTGTGAAACGTATGGGGACTCGAATTCTCGAATCGAAAGAGTATATTCAATGTTTTTTGCTGTGTCCTGTGTTCAGGGTGTAAAAGTATTTCGTCCCTTGCGAATATTTATTAACTTTAATATGGAACTAACAGATACCCAATAGTCGTCGGAATCTATTCCCTCGGGATTTACTGTGCGAACATGTATTTTTTTTTTTTTAGCTATCGAGCCCTTTTCTTAGTTCGATGATTAAAACCCGTTTTTTCCTTATTTCTACGTTTATTTTCAAGGAGACAAAATAAGACTGCAAAACATTATCTGGTCACGTTTGACAAGCAATTCGATCTATAATCAACAAAATTCAATATGATCGAAGATCAAGGGCTTCGGATAAGGCGTTCAAGGATGCCTCGCCGGGTTGTTTCGAGACTCAGAAGAAGAATAATATTGACCATCGTCACAGTAGATTCCCAATTCCTTCTGGTGATATTCCTTGTATGATGACTAATGCAGTGAAAATAAATGTCTCTTCAAGAAACAAAAGAACAGAGAGCATTAATTCTTATTAGAATTTCTTCGAGTACTGTATAAAACACAACTAATGTTTTATTGGGGGATCGACATTGTAAGCATTTTCTAATGAAGTGACGCGCGCATATCACCGTATTTAAATTCGATTTCTCCATAATCAGAGAATTTCAAGTCTATCATCATGCTAAGTCTATCATCATAAGTCTATCATCATGCTTTCTATTATAGAACTACAGTTTTGGAGACATAATTCAGAATTTTAATCTTTCGTGACGGCTCAGGAAACACAAACGAAAAAGAAAAATGACTTGTCCATCAATTTGTGCGTTATAATGCTTTATAACGCAGATTGTGTCAGTTAAAAGCAACGATGCCTTTTCCCTGTAAATCTTAGCCACCATTGGAAATGAAACTCAACTTTTTCCAAGCGAACTCAGAATCTTGAGTTCCTATAATCGCGATTCCTCTAAAAATAACCCGAAGTCCTATTTATTGATGCCACACAACTGATCCATATACGAATATACGAGGGGTTACACAGTTCCGCACGGATCAGCTAGTTGCAGACTCAACAACTGAATATTTAAATAAGGCCTGTTTCAACACATGGATCAGAAGGACTGAGAAATGTGTACAAATTGGTGGTGATTACCTTGAGAAGGTGTCTGCCTAGCCTTTTAAAACTAGTGAACATGAGAAAAGTGTTCTAAAAATCCCTGATGGGTTTCAGATAATTTGAAGTCCGCGCGGAAACGTGTAACCCTTTGTATGTGTGTGGTGTGTTAATGCCTGTTATTACGACATACAATGATTGTTCATTTAACGATGCATTTCCAATGTCTTCAGGTTTTATTCTTTTTTGGACGAGTTCGAGATAGATCGACGCAGAAGCGAATAAATGCTGAAAGTCAAGTTTACCGGGACATTGTTCAAACAAATAATCCGGAAGACTGGAAAACTCTGGTACTGAAGGAATATGCTGCCTTGATCTGGATCAAGACGCATTGTCGCAAATTTCGGGTTTGCTGACTGCACTCGCCAACGTGACCGTCGTGAATGATGCGAGGTTTGCCGTGCTTTTCGGGGACACTGCTCTGAATCTGATCCCATCATCGAGAACGTGGAAGTTTTTCTTTAGCCGAGCAATCGTGGTTGCACACAACCCAATTCACAAGCCTCATGAAAGTCATCATTTGTACCCTGAAGCCCTTTTTCAGATTCACAAGATTCTTTTCGGAAGTTCCCTTCAATAAGTGCTTCATGTCATGAGGGGCACTAGTTAGTCAGATATACTGTATTGTATGGAACTAACAAATGATTTTGCTGACGTTTTGAGTCCGGAAATGGTTTTATTTTTCGCCTGGATTTTAATTCTTCCTATATCTTGAGTATTGATTTTGATGGTCGTATCAATACTTTTACTATAGCAATTCATGATAGTAACTATAGAAAATTTTCTCGGAGAAGCAACACTTAGCAGCCTTTTTTCATCTGGTTTATGAAGTTGTGTATTGGTTTCAAGACATGTGGGATGATAAATTTTGCCCGCGTTGAAATCAAACGATTGTATTACTACTGTATTCATTGAAAAATTAAATTCGATTCCATGGAGGAAAAACCTGCCCAATTTCACTCAAATTCCAATCCAGAATACTGCAGAAGACTGTCTGTTTTCCATTAAAAATATTTTCAGTATATTTTTATTGTTTCGCATAGTTTTTGGATTTTTGCAGACTTCGCACAGGCCCAAAGAAAAAAAGCGTAGAACGTAGAAAATGCAGCATAAAAACGATTATATATATTACCGAAGAAAAAACTTAGAATGAAGTGAGCGTTATCGGAATCATTGTTGAAAATTTAGATTTTATTGTGATTTGGAAAAAAATTAATATGATCGCGGATGAAGACTGGATACATTACGTATGAATCAAAGAGCTTTTTCAAATATCATTGACTTAACAATACCGAAAAAACGGAAGCCAGTATTCATATATTCAATGATTCCATTTGCTCGAATAATTTTCTCTTTCGCTGAAGTGTCGGTCTAATCCAGTCATTCGATATGCAGTCGTAAATACGCCTTCCTCGTGTAGAAAATATCCGGTTTTTCCAGTTTATAGATGCCTGCTTACAAGATTCTGATGATCCGGGAAAAGTCAAGTGTTTATAGTGGCCATTAAAATACCAGAGACAAGTTCATTATCTTCAAACAGCGATGTCTTCTGTTTTGAACTAAAATAAAATATTCCAAGAAATGCCATTTTTTGGCGAGTGGGGCGCCTGGAACTTGGATAGTAACGATGTATTTTGACTATCTGACACCAAGGGGATCTTTCGCTTTGTCTCTAGATGTATTTTCGGGATTAATGTATTATAAATTATATCCTCGGATAATCGTAAAATTACCATCCCGACAAAGCATTGAACAAATAAATGTCATCGCCGGCTGCTTGAATATTAC